GTTATTTGATATAATGTTGTTATTTTTTTTCTATTATACTAATTTAGTGGCATATAGTTTCCATATATAATCATACATTTTTTATAATATTTTAATAAGCAGTTTGGTAGTTATTAAAGTTGCAGTTTGATAAGATATAATATAGAATCTAATTATAATAATTAGATTTGTTGACACATATCCTTGTAGTGTTGTATATATGTTGCTTTATTTTCAATAAGCATTGTTAACTAATAGGCTGTTGTATTAAGTTAGTAAATAGTATAATTATTGTAATTGTGATTGTATAATATCTAGTAGTAAGTTATTGTTAATGATTTTAGAAATTGTTTCTGTAATAATGCTAGTAAGATTTGTTAGATTAGAACAAAGTAACCAGTACAGTAGGTGTTTTGATGTTTGACAAGTAATGCAGTGTTGTGTTAAAAGCTATTTGGATATAATTTATAAAGACAGTATAGTAATGGTAGAATATTAATAAATGGTTTGATCTTGAACAATTTGCTTTGATTAAGTAAAAAGTTGGTATAGTTATTTGTTCATTTAGTATTGTTGTTAAGATATAACTATGTTGTGTTTTAGTCAATTTGTAATGACAGTAAAATAATGTTACTCATGTAATGTTATAATAATTACATGGCAGATCTTAACTTATTTACTAGTTAGCTATATAAATTTATTTATAAAATTTAAACCTATTTCTTATTTAATCAAATACTATTTCAAACAAACTTTTTTTATCTTAATCTTACTTTTAAAGACCTTATACCTAAAGCCTTAATTGAAACAATTTATAACTACAACATATTTACTAAAATAGATTCACAAACTATTATTCAAACACTTCTTAATATTAATAATCAAATCTACAACCAAATATAGAAATCTTATTATATTTATTTCTTTAACTAAAAAAAATAATATCATTATATTTCTTCAAACCTTTAACAATTATAATATCTCACAACAAATACAACAAACCAGATATCACAAAAGATTATATACAAACTATATATATTCATATTTATGTGAAATAGCAAATCAATTATATTTATGTTCTAATATTTGTTTATCAATTGAACAGATTATTGAAAAAATTAATATATCAAATATAGTTTATACTTTGGATTAATTATAACACATCTTATAATCATATTGTAATATTACAAATCTAAATAACTTTTGATTACCTTAGTAAGTTTAGGTCACAGATAAAGTTGTTTAAGCTTTAATTCTTACATATAGTTTTTATTTTGTATTTTACAATCTTAATATATCTTTAATATAAGTATATTAATATGTATAGCTAAAATTACTAATAAAGATATAAGCAAGGCCTTAGCTTAACACCAAAAAAAAACTAATTAATTGTTTTATTATATTGTCCATATAACTAAATTTGTTAATTAGTTAATTAAACTAAAAAATTAATATTAATTAGTTTAAATAAATAAAATATTTTTAAATTAAACTAATAATTCAATTAATTAATTATTTTAAAATTTTCTAAATTAATTAATTAAAAAGTTATTAACTAGTTAATTTTTTAACTAATAATATAAATTACTGCCTTGAGTTTTTAAACTATAAAATAGTACAAACTTGATTTAAATAATTATTAAAAAGAATTATGTTTGTATAATTGTATATATAATCCTGCTAAATTATTAGCCAAGATGTGGTCTTAATAAAGGCAGGACCACTTAAGAAAAAAAAATTCATAACTTAATTAGCTTTAAATAGACTAGCTAATAAGCAACTCGGCTAAATAATGAAACAAAATTGGTTTAGTTCATTCATAACTAAGTTTTTGGTCTGCCGACTTACATCTCTACGTATAATTGCTTTTGGGCAAGTTAATTTTTTGAATTAAATATATAAAGAATTGATTTAAAAAATTATCAGCAATTAAAAGTTTATAACTTTTACGCAACAAAGAATGGTTAAATATTAAAGAATATCTATCGTTAAATTTAAATATATATATATTTAATTTAATTTACATCAACTAATTTGACCAATTGACCAAAAAGTACAATATTTGTCCTATGACAGTTATTGTGTTCTTATAAGGATGTTCCTTGCAAATTTAACCATAAAAACGTAGCTCTAACCTTTAAAGCATTTTTGATATTTTTTTAATAAATTTATGCTTTGATATTAATATAAATAGTCGTGTACAGTGCACTGCTACGTGTAAATTAAAAAAAGTTTCTTTTTTTTTTTTTTTGCATATAGTATTTAAATATACGCATAATCGTAATTGATGAACATTAATTATATTTATATTTTTTATTTAAGATTTTCTAATTGTAACTCGTTGGAACCATAACAATATTTGTATTTGAGATGAAAAAGTTGACAGGATAAATTATAATTTAAATAATTCACTTTATTTAAAATTAAAAAGCTAATGGAAATTCCTATAAAAAAGACAGTAAATGCAAATTACTTGAAAACCTGAAGACCTCATTAGTCGGTACATAACCTGTCATTACTGTCATTCAGTCAACTGTATTTAATATATCATATTCGAAAACATTAGAAAGAGGAAAATGATACCTTGATGTTGTCTCTTTAAATTCTTACAAATAATTACCGTATTAAGAAAGTAACCACAACTTTATTACACTTAATTGCTTAAGAAACAAAGAATAATACAGTAGAATACAATACATAAAAAAAGAGACATTTTGAAAATACGAAAACAGAGAGAATGAACTTCTAAACAACAGTAAGCGTAAGAAAAAGGTAGCAAAGATTATATTATTATTCATTAAATTAGAGCCGCAGATTAATTCGGCTTGAGGTTGCTCAGCTCACAAAATGCTCAGTTCTAATCAGTAGAGTCAAATAAACAGTCCAATTCAACTAAATGTAAGCAGTGAGTCAAACCGAGCCAGCCGTTTACGTATCTAGTCAACAAATTATACACTTGCCGGTTTTTGATCTTCTCTTATAGGTTTCAATATATTTGAGCTGTCTGTTATTGATCGCACCTCGCCTGCGTTCTCTAATGTAGACAATCGCATCCAAAGCACTCATTCCAGATTCGATCAACGCAATGGCGACCAATACAGGAGCACTAATGAAAAAAAGATTAAATTGTTAAAAAATGATGATAAAAAGATTATAATCAAGGGGTAAATCATTAAGTAAAATCAAGTAAATTAAGTAGAAAATGAGTATATACCGGCCAAGTCCGGCTACACAATGACATGCAATGGTTGGTCTCTCTTCATCGGAGACTATTTCACCGAATCGCTTTTGAACAAGATCAAGCCAGTCATTGACTATTTGAGTTGGTGGAGCTTCACCATCACCAAATACCCAATCCTATAATGATAATAAAGATTAGTTATTTATGAAATGATTAAAATTTATTGAAATTAATAATTAATTATTCAATAAGATAAATTTACATGAACTTTCATTCCACGCTCTTCCAAGGGTTCAATGTGGTAGGTAGGATCACAGACACGGACAACATCAGTTACGTTAAATCGTTCAAATTCCTAAGAAATTAAATCAATGAAATAAAAGTTTAGAAAGACAAACGAAGATATCTTTGAAACAAATTAGAAACATAAATACCTGGATATAAAGAGACAAGTTATTGTCAGAAGGCGCATCTGCAATCAAAAAGC